TTATTGTTATTATGATATTATTATCCTTATTTACATCACCGTCATTATGACCCCCCTGACCCCTGACCGTTGACCCCTGACCTCCGACCCCTGACACTCACACCCTGACTGTTGACCCCTGACCCCCCGACCCCTGATCCCTGATCCCTGACCACCGACCCCTAACCTTCCACCAGGATCTGCTCCGAGTCCTGCAGCACGTCCACCCCAAAGAAGGCGGCCACGGCGCTGGGTGCCAGTTTGTCCAGCAGGAAGATGACCACCGCCAGGATGATGCACAGGATGCCTGGGGGGGGGGGGCAAAGGGCAACGGTCAAGGTCACAGACAGAAAGGTCACAGACAGAAAGGTCACAGTCAGAAGGTCACAGTCAGAAGGTCACAGTCAGGCACGTCCACGGAGAAAAGACAAATTTATGACATCCGTCTAGGACAAATTTATGACATCCGTCTAGGACAAATATGGCAAATTGACCACTATGACAAATTGACCACTATGACAAATTGACCACTATGTCTATGACAAATGTTCTGTTCAAACCGTCAGCGTCTTTCATCACTTTCCCATGTCAAAACACGAGCTTTTCAAGAGAAGTCAAAAAACTGTTTTAGCTCTCTCGGGACGTTATCTCAATGCAAGACGCTAAATCCATCTGAACTTGCTATTATTTTAAGACAAGGAATGAAACTAGAACCAATCAATGCGCGTCCTCAACCTCTACAGCTCAACATACAACACACACTTAAAATACATACAACACACACATAAATCTATACTACACACACATAAAATATACAACACACATAAATCTATACAACACACACATAAAATATACAACACACACATAAAATATACAACACACACATAAAATACATACAACACACACATAAAATATACAACACACACATAAAATATACAACACACACATAAAATCCATACAACACACACATAAAATATACAACACAAACAAAAAATATACAACACACACATAAAATATACAACGCACACATAAAATCCATACAAGACATACATGATTGACCTACCAGTGATGAGACAGTCTGAGACACACAGACCTACCAGTGATGAGACAGTCTGAGACACACAGACCTACCAGTGATGAGACAGACCCAGAAGGAGCCCCCGTAGGAAAACTCGAGGACTTCGTCGGCTGTGAAAGGTATCTTGAGCTCGTTCACATTGCGAAGGGTTGCCCAGATGATGTTTGCCGTGACCATGGAAGCGCCCGTGAGAGCCAGGAAGTAGGCGCCATAACGGAGGAGGACGAAGAACAGGATGTTGGCCAGGAGCCACAGAGGAAAGGCCAACCTGGTAATATATTACAGAATGTATATTATACGTGTATTATTATTACCATTTGTGAAGTGTGCTGACAAAATGAGTTACTTGTCAGATTCGAGCCATAAGGAAATAGATACAGCATGCTTATAGGTGAAGTTTTCACAAGTATAAGATAATAAAAGACTGGTTATAGTTAAAGAATATGCCATCAATTGAAAATCTACAAT